CTCTCTCTCTCTCTCTCTCTAACTCTCTTTCCTCTCTCTCTCTTAAAAAAAATTTCTCTCTCTCTCTGTTTCTCTCTATCCCTCTTTCTCTCTAGTTTTTCCTCTCTCCCTCTCTCTCTCCTTTTGAATTCTTATTTCTCTCTCTCTCTCCTCTCTCTCCTAAAAAGTTTTCTTCTCTCTCTCTCTCTCCTCTCTTCTATCCCTCTCTCTTTTTTTGAATCCCTCTTTCTCTCTCTCCTCTCGGCCTCTCTTTATTAAAGAAAAATTATTTTTAGACGAGTTCCAGTCAAAATTGATAGAATTATTTTTCATGTGTGTCTGGCACCTCCTCTTTAGATCTATGTATGTACATGCACTCTGTCAAAATCTGCATTTCTAATAATTTTTTACTTTGGGTCTGTGTTTTGCACTCTAGATATAAAAGACAACCTGCACACATACCAACACATGCATATGCTGCATTTTAAGATTTTCTTTTATTCTAGTATTATGATATACATTGTAAATATCAGTCTTTTGAGTGAGACTTGCAGCTTCTGCTGATCTTCAAAATACATTAAGTGTTGCTCATAGGTAATTCTACTTACAACGATATTGTCAATAATAACATGAAAAATATTACTGAAACCATACTTTCTTTTTCTACTGAACCCTAAAATTTTTTTACCGACAATGCATATTGACCTTGTTTGAAAGTTCTTTAATTATAGCTATTCATGAACTTTGTTTTGTCTGAAAATGAATAGACATTGTTTGACGTTTTTCAAATTTTAGATATATGGAGGGGTGTCTTATTGTTTTATCTACTGTTTCTTCATTTTTCTCCTTCAAATGATTTCTCAGATTTCACTTTTAGTTCAAGGCTATTCACATGACTGTTATAAAATCTTCCAAGAGTATTCATCTATGATTATGTTTATAATGCTTATATATTTAAACATTTTAAAAGAGAAAAAAAGTTTACAGAGGGTGTGATATTTACATTTTAGTTTATGATAAACTTTAATCTCTTGGAAAATATTGACATTGCTTTTCTTATCAAGTTTCATATTTTGGATCTGTGACTTTGAAAATTTAACATTTGTGAAGATTTTCAAGATACATTAAACAAATATAAGTAGTTTGTACTTTGGCACGTTTTTTTTAGTCAAGGAAAAGTGTGGCCTGTTATCTAATTCTATATATTATGTGTTTGGGAGTGGGTAGCTGAGCACAAGGCCAAATAGGGTGAATGAAGATTTAATTGTACCGATTTTTCAAGTTAAGAGGTCCTCCACCCTATATTGTTTTTTTTTTTTGTTTTTTTTTGTTTTTAACAGTAAGGTTCACTCTGTACAAGGCCCAGGGACTACTCTGGGTAGATAGCTACATTAGGAGGCAATTTGTATGGGTAGGAAAGGAAAGTAACAGTTAACCCTAGACTTGAACAGTGATTAGGAAAACAGTTTGGGAGTTGGTTCCACAAAGCAGTGGTTCACAGGAAGAAGCTGTTTGAGCGAAACTTCTTGCCAATGGAATACGGAGAGAATATAGTTGGGGGAGGGGGAGTTGCTACAATATAAGTCCTTGCTGTGAAGGACTGGCGGAACCAAGGAATGTAGTTCGTCTGAGCATTTTCCATGAAAGTAGTGATAGAGCAGTGCTTGCCACATCCCACCTGTGAGCCAGAGGTTGGAGGGTGAAAAATAATTTATCACCCACAAGGACTCTGAGATGCTTTTGGATTCTGTTGAGGCTGGAAAGTGTGGTTTGTGCTCTCACCTAAATATAATGGTACTCCATTTTTGGCCTGATCTTGCTCTTGTAACAGTAGAGGATATCATGTAGAGTCAGATACTTGCTGGAGTGGTACAGGGAGCTGACCACTTTACCTTGAAAATCAGCATTCAGAATTTTAGCTGTTTACCTGGCCTGATGACTGTTTAGAAATACCAATAAGAATATACTTTATTTAAAATTGTTTTCATCTTGATTATAACATTGTCTAATACTAATCACTTAAAATACCTCTGTCTATAGATCAGTTATTATAAATGAGGTATGATGGAGTAATGGATAGTGGCTCAGATTGAGGAATCTGAGAGCTGAGTTCAAATTCCAGTCAAATCCATTATGTTTGCTTACATGCTAATACCTTTGGGAAAGGTATGAATCCTCTTCTCACTAAGATATGAGTAAATAGCAGGATGGATCGGGTCCTATAGCCTTGGATGGCAACTAGTCTACCATAGAAAGAAATGCCAACCTACTGCGGGGGAAAAAATCTGCCTCGTCTGTCATGTATCAAAAAATACATGACCGCCTAAGTGTGTATTGCGCATGTCATATAATTGACTGACTATAATAAATTTAGGAAGATAAGGAAACTGAATATAGTTGCTACAAAGTCAAAACATTAACTTAAAAACTTGTCATGTTCTTAAATAGCCTTGTCAGGCCAAGACTTTCACATTGATGCTATGCATGGTGCCAAACCTGTTCAGAAATATCTAAACTGTCAGCTACATACAACTACTTTTTAAGATTAATGTTTAAAAATGGCTTCATGCAAATGAAGCATGTAGGTTTTATACTTTTTCAAACTTTGTGGACTTGCACTACAGAATCACAAAGAACTGTACCAAGTAACAGAAACTGCATCACTTGACGACTATCAACAACAGCAACAACTAAAATGGATAGTACATGTAATTTGAACAGAAAATAATGAAACTTATTACCATAATAAACAAGATGCCAGTCGAAAATATGCAACTCTTTCTACCACCAAACAGGCTACAGCTACTTTGAATATTGTTTATAGTTGATGTTGTTAATAAGTGACTATATATTTTCAGAAGACTAGACAAGAACTAATATACCAACAGTCTGTAACTTAGGTTTGTGAAACTTTTTAAAAAAATTAAATGTTTTGAAAATTATGGCATCTTAAATGTTTTGAAAATTATGGCATCTTAATTTGTATCTTAATTATAAAGTGGTCTCTCTAATTTACATATACAGGATTTGATTGATAAATTGTCGTCTAAATTATGCAAAAATGAAAATAACACTGACATCTCATTTTAACATATTTACACAAATTACACAAAAATATCTTTAAATACAAAAGAGTAAATTTATTCAATAAAATCACCATTGGCCTCCACCACAGCCTCCAAACAACTTTGGAATCTCCTGCATCTCTTATGGATGTTCTCTTTGTTTGAGTTGGTGAATGCTGCCATAAGCCTTGTCTTCAGTTCATCTTTGGTATTTTGTTGGTCTCTTGACATAATAATCAAGGGGGTTGTAGTCTGGGGAGTTAGGTGGCCAGATGTAAAGTGTGATGTGGTCACAGAAATTGTCTCACAGCCATGATTGGGTTCTCCTGTTTGTGTGACATGGTGCAAAGTCCTGTTCCCAGACATAAGGTTTTTCAGCAGCCACCCTGTTGACCCAGGGCAGCACTACCTTCTCAAGGCATTTGATATAGGATTCCTTGTTGAGTCTGAGGCCCTGTGTCAAGATGAATGTAGGCATAATATTGCTACCACTAGTGGTCACTCCAAACACCATGATGTTGACTTGATATAACATCCAAGTCTCTGCACAGTCCTTAAACACTCTGAAATGTTTGTATTGGAACTTTTAGCACAAATGCCAAGCAGCACAGCATACTATTTCCATAATTTTTGGCAGAGTGAATTGTCATGGTCTTTTTCTCACAGATGGTGACCAACTGACCTTACTATATTGTGCAGTTGACAAAACCAAAAACAAACAACGTGCATGTGTGAAATTAAAAATATAAAATGCCAACAATTTACCCATCGCATCCTGTAGGTCTATATTTAAAATCTGTCATGTCTACATTTATCTCAAACACCCTTGCAGTGTGCTGGAAAACTTCATCAGTGATGTTTATTATTGGTGTCATTGTGGGGGTTTCATGCTTCTGAAAACCTCAAACCCTTGGTGACTGAACCAGGAGTTATCACCTCCCAACCAACTTCCCTGCTTCTGTGAAATGAATCAACAGATTTTCACATGAGCTATTTATTGGCTGAATTCTTTTTGGTTTTCAGCCAATGAAAACTAGTTTTACAGTTTCTGCAGTCTGTTTGCCTATTACATGCCATTGACTCTTCCTGTCATTTTTATTATATTTTTCTGTGCATAACAAAAGTTCCATGTTTTCTTTGGTCAATGGAAAAATTTAGGTTAGCATTCGGCTTAGCATACTTTGAGAAATCTATGCTTTCTCTGACCCACTTCTCACACTGCACTCCCTTTCCATCTATTTCTATTGCAAATATAGCCCAATTAAATGAAAGTCAATCTCTCTCTCTCTCTCTCTCTCTCTCTCTCTCTCTCAAGACCCTGCCCCTTTGTATGACATCAGGAGAAAATGACTTGACTGGGTGAAATTATTACTTCATTCTTTCTATTTTTCTTTTTTAGTAATTTTTATCCCTTGTGTGTTAGATTGATATCTCCTAAAAAAATATCTTTAAGACAAACTTGGCTATTTTTAAGGTGTCAAAAAATGTTGGACATGGGCAGAATGTTCAAATGAATGAAAGCTGACACTGGAGATATTCCTTAATCCAATCATGGCATTGACTTTAGTCCAATCATATTATTCGGCTTGTTCCATTTATTAAGTTAGCACAGACCTTATACTCTGCCATTACTTCATATAAATGAACCATTCCCTTTTAATTGCATTTAATTTAAAATTATATACCAGAGATGCTGTTTGGTTTAGTGAGAGAAAGACAGGGAAGATAGATTAAGTGATAATGCTCTTATGCATCTGTCTGCTTCAGTGAAATTTCTTTAAATAATGATTTGCATTTATACTTATTGTTATTACAGTATTTTGTTAAACTCGAATATTTAACCATACAATGGGGGAATTTCTGGGGGGTATTTTATAAGTTGTGGAACTTGCAAGGATCTTGTTTATTCATTAAATTAAGAATTATAATTAATCAGAAAATACAAACAGGAAATCTTATGGCCATATCACATTGAAACACAGGTTTCCATATGATCACCAAAGTTAAGCAATGTCAAGCCTGGTCAGTACCTAGATGGGTGACCGCTTGGGAATACCAAGTACTGGAAGCTTGGATGTTTGGGTGATATAATCGATAAATTGGAACTGTTAATCAAAGAGAAAGTTCCAATTCCAGTTGGGTTAGTTATATTCACTTACATGCAAATATTCTTGGGAAAGGTATGAATCCATCTCTTCTCCTCCTACCTATGGGTTAATCAGTAAGACTTCTATCACTATATTATCTCGGAAAAAAAAATTCTTACAAATCTAAAAATATTTTCTGGCTTTAAATAACCTGCAAAGATTTGATAAGCCATAGAAAACAGATCAATCAAATAGGAAAACTGAAATTTTCGTGGGTACTGCTAGTAATTATTATTAAACCACATTAAATAACGTAAAACCATGAAATGGCAATTATTTCTTGCATATAAAAATTTTTCCCATTAAGATAAACTCATCAGATATACATGCTTAGTATGAACAAGCTGGTCGGCAAATATAAACTATAAAGATACAGATCCCCTTGAAGCCAAACATATTTCTACAAACATGGTTATATATTTTGTATTACAATTTTGTTTAGAAATTGTTAGAACAGTATTTGTCTTGTGTTCATAATTTGATGATAATGCAGTTCATTTTTTTAGTTTAAATGTTAATTACACTTTTTAAAATTAATAATTTAATATTAAATAAATTTTTAATTAAATAAATTAATTCAAAATTTTTTTTTTTTAAATTTAAAAATTTTCTTTCTCTGTAATTATTGATGGAAAATTTTTTTTTATTTGTTTTGAGTTAAATGCAGTAAAATTTAAAAATTTGATACATAAATTATTTGTGTTATTTTTTTTTGCCTCAGTAAATTATAAGCTTTTCTACTTAAGCATTTCAAGTCATGATTGATTTTTTTTTTAATTTTCACACATTCTCAGAACATCAAATAACTTTTAAACACTTGATTTTGATTTAAAATGTTTTTTAGTAGGATATAGAATATAGAAAGAGGAGAAACAAAGAGATGACTGGTAATTCAAAAAAGGTCAGAAATTTTTAATATATGAATTAAATCTGACTTGTCTTTATATTTTGTTATATTTTTCAGGGGGGTGTTCAAACCCCCTAAAATTTTAAGTGAACTAAAAATGGTGTAAGCTTAATGTTTAATTTAAAAATTTGTTAACAAATCATGAATGTAACAGGTAAATATTGATTAATTATTTTTTAAAATAAATAGTTACAATATTGAGAGATCAATAAAAAAAAAAATGGAAATTAAAATAGTATTACATCAATTTTGAAATGACTGGAAGGGGAAACACAAGTCTGTTACAATAGATCTTGTAAAAAAAATTTTAAAATTAATTTATGTGTACATAATAAATACTAATGCCTCAAGAAATGACTATGTACCTGACCAACGAAAAGAAATTTTATAGAATTCAAAATATATCTTCACATTTCCTTCATGCCAAAAATTTTCTGATGGTAAAATAAAATAGTGAAACCTTTTAAATTTATAAAGGTTTTAAATTTTTATTTATTCTGTATTTTCAATTTGGATGTATGTATACATAATAACCTAACAACCTTTTGTGTGTGTTTTATTTAATAAATATGGATGTTGACAATGAAATGCTTTGGCTTTGTTTGAAACTAAAAACAGATAATGAACACAAAAGCTCAAAATTTAATGCTGTAATTGCATTATTTACCAACGAAAAGAACATTTATTTAAAATGTAAAAAGAGAATATCAAAATTTACTGATGGTTATAAAAATATGGATAAATGTGTAGTATTTAAGCAATCAATACGGATCAAACAATTTTATGATTATTTAAAAGTGGATACCTCTGCCTACACCAAACTGATGAAAAAAAAACAGATTAAAGTTTTTCAACAGGTTGTAATAAACTCTTTAGATAAGTAGATCAAAAAATGCTTAGATCCTCTTCAAGATATACAAATAAAGCTTTCATTATTGATCCACTTGTGAAAGGAGTTGAATGAACTGGGACTTATAAAATTCATTTTTTTATTTTATTTATTTTTTGTAGCATTAAAATTTCTGTAGCAACCTTGAATATCTTTTAAAGTTTATAATAAATCTATATTCAAATCAGATTTGTATGTTTCTTACAATATGATAGCAAAAATGGCAAACTGTAGTGCAATTTCTGTTAGTGCAAAAGTATTGTGTGAAATAAAATAAGTTTTGAATCACTAGTTTTTCAAGTGATATTTAAAGTATAAATTGATTTAAAAAAAAAAAAAATACCCAAGGGTAATAACTCTGGATTTATTAACTACTAATGTGAGATTTTTCCCCTAAGTATTAAGAGAATTAGAGGAATGAGTAGTGAAGATTCCTCAATTTGTCTTCACTTATCTGTTGGTTACATCAGTGATGATGATAAAGCTTTTTTGATATTTAACATTTGTAAATAATTATATATTTCATAAATAGGAAGTGACTTGTCATCAAGTGGATGTTCCAAAGGTCAAATATGAGTGTTCATTATATAAACTATAAATAATTTTATAAACAATTACAAAAACTGTGTGCTTACCATTTAAAATTTTTTTTTTTTTTTTTTTTTTTTATTGTGCTTATTTTATTGCACTGATTGTAAAATTCATATATACTGTGTATACTCATAAGCCAAAATATGTCAAAAAAAACATTTGAAAAAAATAATAAAATGGAGTGTAGTCTTATTTGAAGTCAATATTTTATCGATTTTCACCAACTTCAACATCTATGTAAGAAAAAAAAAAATTGAAGTTTGTTGGAACTTTATAAAATGGCAAAAAAATTCTTGTGCTTAATGGGATTGTGATACAAAACTCCAAATGACACTAAAAACATTTTAGATACCAAAATATTAAAACTTTTTAAAAATATTCTCCACTCATGACAATTTAGAAAACCATGTCATTTGAACATGTTAATTAGCTACCTCTGTTAAACACACATGGTTTGAAGTTTGGTTCATTTCTCAGATAAAATAGAGGAGTCAGCTTATACACAAGTGAATGTATGTGGTATACCAAAATTAACTATTTCAATAAAATTGGGCAAATTAAAAAAAAAAAAACTGACACAATTTTATGTTTATTACTTAATTATGATACAAAAGAAATAGATTTGTAAATCTTATTGGAAATTTTCAACATGTGCTCAGTTGGTATCCCTGCAAATTTCAACTTAGCATTGCAAAACGCATTGATGCATTTCAGGAGTTATCTTCTACACTACTTACTGAATGTGTTAAGCTCAGATAAACTATTGATCTTTTGGCAATAAACCTTATTGATTTTTATAAAAACCTTGCAAAGAAATCCAGTGTGGGGGGGGTCATAAAGATGTGTTCTTTTGTATTCATTATTAAGGTTCTGAAAGGGAATGAAAATAGAAAAAAAAATGAAGTCATAAACAAAAGTTAAATTTATACACTTCTAATACATATTAAACATAATGAACAGAAATAAAAGTGAGTAAAAAAAAAAAAAAAAAGGTATTTCTGGGACACCCATTTTTTTTTATATATATATATATAAAATCATTTTACAACAGTCTCATTCATTGGTGCTCTTAACCCAACAATTTTCTATTGTTCATGTATTCTTTTTTACATGGTGAAAATTTCAGATCAAAGTTAATCATTTCTTCCTGTGACCCACTGCTCTGTGAAACCAACTCCCAAGAGGATCCTCCACATCATTACAATCTTAACCTGTTTAAGTCTAGGGTTAACTGTTATCTTCCCCTCCTGTCCATAGTTGTTGCCTCTTAATGTAACTCTACCTCCTGGCCCTTAGACTTTGTAAAAAAAAAAAAAAAAAAAAACTTTTTTTTTTTTTTTTTTTCACAACAATCTAGGCAAGAATGTCACTGGTACCCAGGGGTTTACAGAGTGAAGGTGGAAGAAAAGACTGGGTAAAGGGAACTGAGCAAATGATAAAAGCTGAACAGGGTTGAAAAAGATAAAAGATGGCAATTTATGTTGAATTTAAATTTTTGAAGATTGTAGTTATCAGGGAAGCAAGGAAATGGAAGAGTTCCACAGGTAGAAAGTGTGAGAAAAGAAACCGTTGCAGTAGAAGTGGCGGTTACCTATTGAATCCTTTTCATGTGTGCCAGGTGAATCAGATTTGAGCAAAAAGCTGTCCAATGAAAGTGGTTGAGTAGGGAGAAAAAAAAAGATTTAATAGCTTAATTTAACAATACTGACATTGACTATCATTTTTATCTGTATACAAATGCATAAATACAAGGAAAAATATTAAGAGACCAATCTGGTCTAGTTCACCTGCTGCTTGTCTTAAAGTTCAAGGGTATTAGCACGTAAGTGAATGTAATGGATTTGACTGGAATTTGAACTCGGCTCTCCGATTCCTCAGTCCGAGCCATTATCCATTACTCCACTGTATTTGCATTATTTAAATTCAGATAATATCCTCCGTTTTGTTATCACTAAGTTTCAGCCAAGTACCTTCTGGCCATCTTCAGATGCCAATTTGTTTTACTGATATGGGATATCTATTGATTATTTTTTTCTTGTGATGCCAGTTCTGAGGTGGTGGTGTGCATATAGGCATTAGTTAAAATTGTTGATGTTATCTAATGGTCATGAGTTCAATATTCTAGGTTAGGTAAAGAAATGATGTGCACTGGTGCAGCAAGAACAAGAACTGGTATCACAGGGACAAAAATAAAACAGATATCTCATATCAGCCAAAGAATTGACATGTGAAGAAGGCCAGAAGGGATTTGGTAAAAATAACAAAAATGAGGACATTAGTCAAATGTAAGTAATGTAATTTTTGTAACTTCTCATCTCAGAAATTGAGACTGAAAACCTAGATTTGCTTAATCATATCTCTACCACCAAATAAATTACTGTAATTATTTTAATAAAAAAATTTGAGGTGAACTTCACATAATACATTTAACACACACACAATGAAAATATTACTAATGTTAGTTAGTTAACACCAATTTTATTGCAAGAAAATTGATTTATATAGTAAAAAAAAAAAAAATTATGAATTTATAT